GAGATGAGCACCCCCCACCCCCAGGGTCTGGTCATGCTACAGTCCCCTTCTTCAGTCCATGAGCCCGTCAGATTTGTGCAGTTGCTTGTATGCCCCGTACGTTTCAGGTCTGGATGTTAGCGGTGGTCTCCACTAGGATCCGGCTTCTCTGGAGTACTGAAATACCACGGTGCCATTGGAGCTGGCCCAGTTATGATATAGTACTCTAAATGTTTTAGGGTCTCGGTTTGAAAAGTTTTTTTCTCTTTGTGTCTTTCGTACCCTGTGGGAGGTCCTAGATGTTGGTTCTTGAATCAAAGGTTCACTAAAAATAAACTTGAACTTGTTGATTAGGAAGGTCTTTCTAAAAACCTAAATATATCTTAGCTGCAAAATATTTTATCTTGATTTTATTTCTTTTAATGATCTGTATGAGATAATAGACTCAGTGCTTCAAAAGCTGAAGCACTTATCTTGTATTTTCATAATTAAATAAAATTGAATTAGAGAATTGGGAATAAAATCACACTTATTTCATTAGGAATGCACTTATGTGCAAATCCAGCAGTCACTTTTCTTTTGGAGAGTTAAAAAAGGAGACTTGAAACTAAGCCAGAAAATAATTTCTTCATCAACTACAGTTAATAAAAACATTAATATGGTGCATTACATCTGAGGAGGATGCTGCAAACTAATTTCTTTGTAATCAGAAAGCACTTGTAGGCACAGTTGGGGAATTATTAAAACGTGAAAACATCAATTTCGACTTCTCTGGGAATTAAACAAGAAGAAATACTAGAACTGGGAAATTTTTTGGAAAGAAAGAAATAAGAATATATTGTTCTCTTTAGAAAATATAGGGGAAAGTAAACAAAGATGATATTAAAAAATTCCTGGGACCAGCAGATGGTCACTGGACTTCCACATAGTTGACTACAGTTTGAGTCCCAGACCCGGTGGCTTAAAATGCATGCCAGGTGTATGTCTGTGTGTACATGCCCAACAAGATCCCGGGAGGAGAATGGAGGAGAAGGGATTGAGGTGTGGCCATCCACCTTGAGGGGTGATTTCTCTCTTTCTGTTTCTCTGTCTCTCTGTCTCTCCAGTAAGCACACACACCCTATAGGAAAAACAAAAACAGAACAACTCTCTTTCTAAGACAAAACAAAATTCCTAATTGTGTTAAAACAAAATTGAGAAAAGTAGATGAAACGGGGTCTTAATCTCTTGACTTGAGGTTAATGATGCTAAATGAAGGTGTATTACTTAATAAAATGCTATTGGTGGACTGTATTAAGCATCTGGAATATTTTTAAAAATTTATTTATTTACATTTAATCACATCTTTACAGTGTACAACATTTCTTTTTCCAGCACAAATATTATGCATGTCAGTCAAGCCAAAGATATTACTCTATAACTTATCAGCAAATAGCTTCTAATTTTTTTGTCAATTAAGCATACTTTTACTTTTTTTCCTTCCCCCTCTCCCTTCCATATTAAACTTTTTTCCACATTTTATTGATTCACAAAATATGTTAAACTAAAAATATGGGCAAAGCTAGAATCTAGTCATAAGTGTCCTATAATTTACTTCTGAAATATTTTATTTTTCTGAAACTCTTTTTTAACTTAGTTTACATTCATTCCCTTAGCATCATCACAGCATACAAAATGTGATTTCCCATCCAGAATATACTGCACAGTGGCTTAATTATGCATGCTATCGTCAAAAATTTTCCATTTCTAGTTTCATATGTGTGTATATATTTATATTCCTATTTCTGACCCTCTATCCTTTCCCACCTTCTTCTCACACTATCTCTGGTGTCTACAGTTGTCTTCCATTCCTTT